ATCACAGTCTTTGGAAGCTCTATTGCATAAAATACATGGGTTGGGACAGCCTGCAACACAGATTTAATTAGTACAGCCTTGCCCCCTCGGGACAAGTTCCTATTTTGCCAGCCCTTGCATTTTGCATTAAGCTTTGCAATTAAATAATCAAATAACATCACTCTCTTCCTTCCTACATAGACTGGACACCCCAGATAGGTGAAAGGGAATTCCTTTTTTTGGAAACCAGTCACCATTCTCACTCTCTCAATAACCTTCCTAGACACTTTAGAGTGCATGTAGAATGCACTCTTTTCTTTTCTTACCAATTGCCCTGACTGCCCCTCATAAAATTCCAAAGCCCTCATTGTTTTTTCAATTTCCCCTCCTTTCCCAGAAGTAAGCACTATCATATCATCTGCAAAAGCAAGATGATGAATTTTAGGCCCCCCTTCTGGTTGTGAGAAAGCAGGTCCATTATCCCCAATCAATCTTGACAGTAGTTCAGCTACTAGAATGAATAGACTTGGGGATAATGGATCTCCTTGCCTCAACCCTCTTGTAGCGTGAAAAATGCCCTTTTAAACCCCATTAATGATCATGGAATACCAAATATTATTCACAGTTCTGTCCACCAAGTTAATCCACCCTACACAAAAGCCCAATTTTCTCATAACATTTGTCACACGGCTCCATGACATTATGGCATAAGCTTTTTGCATGTCCAATTTGATGACCACATCCTCATTTGAAGGAGTGATGCCATGGCACATTTCTTGAGCCAGCAGGATATTGTCTATGATGTTTCTACCTTTGACAAACCCTGCTTGGTAAGGTGAGATGATTATGGCCAGCACATCAGCTAGCCTTTTTACCAAGATTTTGGTTAGGATTTTACTGCAAAAGTTACTCAAGCTTATAGGTCTGAACTCAGCAAAGGTTGCTGGGTTTGAAACCTTAGGCAAGAGCACAATTGCAGTATGAGTTAAAGATTTAGTTAAAGTTTTTCCTTCAAAGAAACTTTCAATCATTTAAGCAAGTCCTCCTTGATAATTTCCCAGCAGCTTTGGTAAACCCCCCCCCCCCACCAAATCCATCAGGGTCATTTGCACTTTTAGCTTTCATACTGAAAACACTATCCCTGATTTCATTTATGGTGGGAACCAATTTGGCATTCTCCTCATCAATTACCACCTCCTGTAGACATTTAAATTTTAGGTACAATGCTAACTAAGGATGTGTTTGGTTGATGGGTTTTGCCCATAGGAATGGGTATGAAAGTAATTGTTATTGTTTGGTTGATAGGTTTTTAGAACACTACTATGGGTTTCGAATACCCCCACCAATTGAAAAACTCATACCCAACTAAAATAAGGGTTTCATTCACTTATTCATTCTCAAACACTACTATTAGTAACCATTCCCATTCCACTCTACTACCAAACTTGTTAAATACTTTCTCCAAAACTCATTATCATTACAAAGTATTTGATACCTATTCCAGTTCCAATTCCTATGTGCGAACCAAACACACCCTAAGTAAGACCTTTATTTAGTTACTAGTTTTTTACGCGCATTGCGCGATTGGGATAATGCCCAATGCTTTTTTTAAATAAGTACTTTAAAGTATATTAAGACAGGATTATATTGAAATGGTTCATGCATAGATAATTGAAGGTTGAATTTGCGTATTTAAATAGGTAATTCTTCTCCCAAAGGTTGAGTCCCCAATCCCAAGGGCTCCCCACACTCCGACCCGACAGAGCATTGTGGGAAGTTGTAAATCACGGTGACTCAATGGTTCAGCAGACAGGGCCAAATGCTGATACGCACAAGGAATCTGCCCACTTTGGACATAATTCCCGCACTGCCGCCGCCGAGGTTCAAACCTTCGTCTCTTCTCCCAAATACTACCCACTAAACCATTGAGCTAAGCCCGTGCGGGTTAAATAGGTAATTCTAAGTTTACAAATGCAAGATAATATAGTCAAGATTGATTATAATTGTCAATAAAATAATTGTATAGGTATCGTTGAAACCAAATACGGGACATAAGGGAGAACAAATAAAAATTAGGACATAAAATATTAAATATATACTAATATTGTTTGAGGAGATTCCGACATTAGGATTTGTGGTTAAGTTCTATTAAGACTTTAATATTAGAATTAGATTAATGGTGTAGTTATAATTCTATATTAGACTTTAATATTAGAATTAGACTAACGGTGAATTAACGGAAAAGTTAAATGGATAATCATATAATTAAGGATAAATTAGAAAATCTTAAAAGAAGAAATTAAAACCTGAACAATATGAACCATTCATTTGATTTAATAATTTGGCGGTCATTTTTTCTACCCAATGTTAATAATTAAATAAATTCGCTGGTCAAATCCGCTAGTATAATCCGCTAACGTTAACCGCTAACTGCTAATTGTCAAACAAGGACATTGCGAGGTAGTTCTCACTTCAATTTGTTGTGTGATTTGAATACTCTCGTTGTCACAAAATCTCTCAAGTAGTTAATATGGTTGACTTTATTAATTATATTTTTTTAATTTTTTCATGGTATTAATAAAATACTTGGTATATATATATATATATATATATATATATATATATATATATATATATATAGCATTATTTTGTATTATAACTTTGATATTTAATTAGAAAAATAGTGCACAAAAAAGATAATAGATAATGTAGTGAATATAATCAATTGATGAATTTGAATGTAAAAATTTTTACATTTGAGAAAAATAAAGACAATATAACTAATGAAAATATTTCTTTTAATTAATTTATTGATAATTAATAAAAAAAATTTCACTGAATAAAGACATTGTAAGGATAATGTAGTGAATATAATCAATTAATAAATTTGAATATAAAGAATTTTTATATTGAAGAAAATATAACTAATAAAATTATTTCTCTTATTTAATTGATTAATAATGAATAATTTTTTTTTTTGAATAAAGGCATTGTGGACACATAATTCTAAATTAAAGAAATGCATATGTATTATTTTTTGTTGTAACTACTAAATTTTTATTTATATAATTTAATAAGAGTAAAATAGAGTACTAATTATGCCAACTTTGATTGGGATGAGGTTTGAACCTAAGACCTTTTTTTATTGAAATAAATGAGTAAGTTAACGGTGAACTAACGGCAATTCTTAAAATTTTAACGGAATTAGTAACGGTGTGTGGGTATTTTAGGAAATTTTAGTGTAAAATTTAAATCTGATCAATCTTTTAATTAATCTGAGCCATTCATTTGATTAAAATCTGTGACCGTCATTTTTTCTACCCATTATAGGCCTAACTCTCTTGGGCTCTTATTAGTATAGTAGATATCTCGGACCTATAAAACAATAAGATCGGATCTGATCACCTATAAATATAGAACAAAAAATAGAAATAACTCTTTTAAAATTATTTTTACTTGTTTTCCTTTGTTATCCGCACTCTCTCACACTTGGCAAGAGAAAACTTGACAAAAAATTAAAGAGTTAATTCCAACATTAGTCCTTTGACTATCGTGATTTTCCACAATTGGTCCTCGACTTTTAATTTGGACAATTTTGACACTTGACTATCAAAATATTTCCAATATTAGTCCTTCTGTCACAAGCTAGTTAAGTGCACGTTAAATTGAGAGGCAAAACCGTATTTTAACATACTCTGCGTATTATACCTCCTCATCCTCCTCTCTATACGCGATAAAAATCAAAATCCCAGCAAATTCGTAGAGAAAAATAATGCGCAACGATGTAGCGTTTAACAGAGGCTCCACGAAAATCCCGACGAGCCGAAAACATTCATGCAAGAGACACCAGTGCAGCGGCACGGAGTATCGCCATTCTTGTTCCAGTCTGAAAATGTCGCTCCGCATCCGTCGTCCACAGCGGACTTGAGCGACAGCATAGAGCGAATTGAATCTCCTATTTCAAAGTGGCAGTTTCTCTTCATTCAACATTCAAAACTGGAAGGAAAATGAATTCCATGTTAGGAGACAAAATAAGGAGTACCAATTTTCCATCCATTTCAGCACTCCTATTTCCATATACATTACAGGGTCATTAGGGGTCATTCATCCTTAATACCTATCCCACCTTCAAACAAACTATTCGTTTTTGTGGCAATATTTTTGGGGGAAAAGAATATTACTAGAATCTCCATCAAAAAAGGAAATGATCGTTGAAGATCAACAGAACACCACCATCACAAGATATCTCCGGCCGCGAGAAGAAACAGAAAATTCCGGAAGCCCAAATTTTCAACCATTACCCAAAACTCGGCAGAGACTGATTCACCGAAAGGAACTGAATCTGACTTCATTTTAGGACCGTGTTTTAAGACCAAGATTCCATCAGGTTTCGTGTTTTTACCCGTTGGCGGTGACGGAAAGAGAGAGAGATTTCTTCCGGTGACAGGCTCAGTGGTGGCGGTGACCTCCGGTGAAGGCAGCAACCAGGAGACCCGGCGACCTCTGGCTTTTGCTCCATTGCAATTTATAATTTCTTGAATTTTATTTTTTTTGGTAGAGATAATTTCTTGAATGTTGGTACTCTGTATAATTTCCTGAATTTTCCATCGCCGGTAAACAAAGAAAGGAAATCGAAGAGGAAATATACACTTAGTATTTGAAAGGACGCCTTTACCCCTCAAATTTACATCCACTTAACATTCATTTGACGGAAGGATTAATATTAGAAACAATTTAAAAGTTAAGGGTTTAAATTGTCCAAATTAAAAGTCAGGAACCAATTATAGAAAATCAACATAGTCAGAGAACCATTGCTGGAATTAACCACTAAAGATGCTCTAAATTTAAAAAATTAGAGCAGTGAGAAAAATTAGAAAAGTTTTCTGAATGGCACATGGGAGTGTGGGCCCACCGCACCGAAATTGAACGCAAGAAGGGGAAGATAGATTGCGCGTACGCCGCGTTTTGCTTTTATTGTCTGGACTGTCATTTACGTCTTCTTCACACACCCCATGTGACTATATCCCTTCCTCTTGCCAGCCTACCCCCAACTCACTCTCCGAACCTTCTCTACCCTTTTATATCTCTCTCTCCCCTTCTTCTCATCTCCGTGAATCAGAAAACAGTAACGAAAACCAGAACAAAATGGCGAGATTCCTAGCACTCTTCGCTCTCTGCTCCCTTGCCGCCGCCGCCACTGTTGCCACCGCTACCGTTTCCGGCAAGCCTTTCCTTGTCAAGGGAAAGGTCTACTTGGACACTTGCAACTGCGGCTTCGAGACCACCGCCACCAAATACCTCCCTGGTAAGTGGTTACCATTGCATTCTCAATGATGTTTACGCCTTCTACTTTGAATCAGATCTGCTATTCTCTACCGCTAATTTATTTTCAATTTTTTTTTTTTTAAAAAAAACTTTTACTTTGAGGAAGCTTTTTAGATCTAGTGATTAAACCTTACTGTGAGACAGATCTAACTATTTATATCATCAAATTGATTGGAATGCGTAACGATAATGTTAACAACTTCACTTCCTTCAAGTAGAAGGAAAATGAATCTTATTTTAAGAAATATCTCGAAATCGGATCTGTAAATAGTGCAACATCGATGGATTCTTCAAATGGAGTCGTTTTTAAAATTTTAAATTAGTCAATTCAATGACATTACTACATACTAAGATTGATAGCTTTTATTGTGCGTGATGAATAATTGAGTTAGGTTAAAATGATATCGAATTAACTTTCTCTTAGCAGTTATAGTTTCTATGGAGAGTTCATACTTAAAAAAAAAAAAAATTGCAGAATCGCATGTTAGGCTGGTGTGCACGAACCGGGATACGAATGCCGTGACCTACAGTGCGAACGCGGTGACCAACTCGCAGGGAGAGTACAGCATCCTGGTGAATGGTGACCGCGGCGACGATCTCTGCGATGTGGTGCTTGTGAAGAGCTCAGACCCTCTCTCCGGCAAACCAGACAGCGGCCGCGACCGTGCCCGCGTCATCCTCTCCCGCAACAACGGCTTGGTCAACGACGTCCGCTTCGCCAACAACTTGGGTTTCACCACCAAACAGCCTCTGGCTAGCTGCACCCAGGTCGTCGCCCAGTACCACCTCAACGACGATAATTTTTGAGCAATAAAATTGTTTGTTTAGTAGGGTCGGTGTGTATTTCTTCTCATCCTGGACCTGGAGACTGATGCTCATCCGCATTATTATTATTATTATTATTTGTGTTCTAGCTTGTTGACACTGCTTTCATATGCCTTTAGCTTTATACTTCAATTTAATTTAATGGTTAAATTGCTGCTTTGCTCTGTCGGTGGGTTTAGTTAGTATTTACTTACCTTATCAGAATTGAGTTAATACCCAAAATCGTCCTCGATTATAGTTGTTTTTTTCAATTTCGTCCTAAACGACTTTGGTGACCTAATATTGTCTCAAACTTTTATGTTTCGCTCAATTTAGTCCCAGATTTTTGTGTTTTTGTTCAATTTAGTCCCTCATTTGTTATTCTGTCCATTTGGTGTTAAATAAATAGACAATTCAGTAATTTTAATATTGGCATCTTTTTACTCATAGACATGTGAACTGTGAAATCTTTTTTTTTTTTTTACGAATTACTCCCAGAATTACTCCTAAAACTACGAATATAAATTTTGATTTTTAGGTCTGGGAGTAAATCTGGGTGTAATTCGTACAAGAAAGGGGAATCTCGCACTTCACAAGTTGAAAGTAAAGAGAGATCAATATTGACATTACTGAATTGTCCCTTAATTTAACACCAATTTGACGGAATAACAAATGGAAGACTAAATTGAGCGAAACACGAAAGTCTGGAACGATATTAGGTCACCAAAGTCGTTTAGGACGAAATTGAAAAAAATCACTATAGTCGAGGATGATTTTGGGTATTAACTCTATCAGAATTATTGGAACAAAGTTTCGACTACGTATAATGTAATAATAATGTAAAACTAGTTGCGCACTTGCGCTGGCAAATGTTGTTTGGACGGACAATAAGAGAAATGGAATTATTAAAATGTGATAAAAATTGTTTTACTTTGAAATTTTTTTGTAAACGTAACACTTGAGTGAGATCATTTTATGGATCTTTATTTGTGTCGTAGATCGAGTTAATATAGAATTGTAATACATATACCGAACAAAGTAATACTAATCAGAAAAAATGTAATACTTTTATGCCGCGTTTGGTTGGAGTGAGGGGGAATTTTGGATAAGGAATTTTAATTCTATAGTAGAGGAATAATAATGTGGAATATAGTGAGAATTTATATTTCAATATTTGGTTTGCAAGAATATAATTATTGTGAATTTTAATTTTAATGTTTGATAGATATGAGAATTGAAAGAGACTAAGTAGTATAAAGTCTAAAATGACCATACATATTATTATTATTATTATCTATATATATATATATATATATATATATATATATATATATATATAAAAGTAAAATCTTCCTAACAAATTTTCCCCCCAAAACTTAGGGGCATTTGTATAATTTCTAAATTTAATTAATTAAAAAAATTATATACAAATCATATAAGAATATAGAAAAGGAATATTTAATTATGGTCAAAATTATGGTAGCAATATTATGGTAAACTGATTTTATTACGGTCAAAATTATGGTAGCAATAATATGATAGAGTGTAATATACAGTTTCTTTTAGATTCCCTTTTTCTTTTAATTACGGTAGAGTCATTTTATTATGGTAAAAATATACACTAATTATTTATGGTAATATTATTATGGTAATATTAGATCATTATATATTTACACCAATAATAACACAATAATTTGCTATTTAAACTCATCATTGTGCTAAACTCAAAGCTGTAAGCTTCCAATGTACTCGCCATTGGAATAACATCATATTTAGAGTTCTCCGTGTTGTTCGTCCTCCAGAGACAAGAGGTTCATTCTTCTTTTTTTTTTTTTTTTTTTTTTTTTTTTTTGAAATATAATTGTAATCTTAATATTTTGTATTTCTAAAATTTTAGTTGATGCATATTGATTTTTTTACAATTTCATGGAACTTTTATACATATGCATATTCATCGAGTGTATGTTGAAAAGTGGTTCAACAAATTTAAAGAAGGTAAAGTTTATCGAATTCATAGATTTATAGTGGTTTATAATGAGTATAGAAACAAAACTACTAATCACAGATATATGTTGAAGTTTTGTGACAGAACTACTGTGGGAATATTGAAAGATGCAGATTTTCCAATACATGATTATGACCGAGAAGATTATGATTTTTCTGAAGAGATAGTCTATTGCTTACTTACATTGTTTTGTTTTTTTGTATAACTTTATTGAGATTTTAAATTTTTCTAACTTTCACGATTCTCTGGATGGACAGGTGCATGAACCTTCGATTGGAAATTCAGATTCTACCAAAGGGGATTCAAATAATGAGGAATCTGTTTAGAGATGAATAATGAAGAATATGTCAACACTTTAATATATTAACATCATGCTTTAGTTATGTTATTCGTTTTTGATATTTCTCAGTTTTTAAAATATTCTTAATATATTCTTAGTCTAATTTATTCTTAATTTACTCCTAATGTAATTTACTTCTTTTATATGTTTGGAATCCACTTTTATAACATTCGATGTTCACAGTAGTAGTCTGAGACTAATTCAGTACATACAAAAATTAACTTCGAATTTGTTGCCGTGTTTAAATTATCAAAATTTAAAAGTGGATCAAATGCTCTAATTAAGATTCTCTAATGATGATAATTTATTTTTCTAGGTGAGAGTCAGACAAATAATTAAGACAATTATTTAAAGAAGGTAGATACGTTGTAAATAAATTATAAATGAAGAAATTTATATATTTTGATCTTGGAAATAGTACGTGTTTCTAGGTGGGATTCAAACAAATAATTAAGGTGAAGACATATGTCAAAAATAATATAATTAATTATGGTAATACTTCACGATCCAAAAAAAAAACAATATTTATAATTACAAATTCACTCCGAAATTTTGAAAATTAAATTAAATTAAATAGGTTAGAAATTTAATTTTAAGTATGTAGTTCCGGATAAATTTAAATAAGTCAATTGAATAAAAATATTTAGACTAAAAAATAATTAATATGATAATTGAAATTATAGAAGAATATGACAGAATATAAATTAATTAATGAATTAGGTATTAAATTTTACCTTTCTTGAATTAACGTGAAAAATGCATGAAATATTGGTCAAAGTAATATTACTAATAATTAATTTTAACGTGTAATTCATGGAATATTGCAGTTCATGGAATATTGTGGTAAAATTATAAATTTTAATTATGGTAGGCTAATTAAAATTACGGTCAAAATATACACTAATTAAGAATAATTAATTATGGCAATAGAAATTCTACAAGTATATGGCAGTACATGGAATATTAATAAATTAGCTATTAAAGTTTACCTTTTTTTGAATTAACGTGTAATCCTTAAATATTGCAGTACATGGAATATTATTGCTGTAAAATATTAAATTTTAATTATATATAGATGGTAATCCTTAATTACCATCTATATTACGTATGATATTAAATAATTTTAATTAGGTATTGCCATGCATATTAGGTATGATTATTTAATTTACTGTGTACACCTATGTATGCAAATCATATACATACCTTTTTTGAATTAACATATAAAATTAATTAGATATTAACATTTAAAATCAGATTTAATTAGATATTACCATCTATATTAGGTATGGTATTAAATAATTTTAATTAGGTATTACCATGCATAGTAGGTATTATTATTTAATTTTTCGTGTACACCGATGTATGCTAATCATATACATACCTTTTTTGATTTAACGTATAAAATCAATTAGGTATTAACATTTAAAATCAAATTTAATTAGATATTACCATCTATATTAGGTGTGATATTAAATAATTTTAATTAGGTATTACCATGCATATTAGGTATGATTATTTAATTTACCGTGTACTATGTACACCTATGTATGCTAATCATATACATGCCTTTTATGAATTAACGTATAAAATCAATTAGGTATTAACGTTTAAAATCAAATTTAATTATATATTACCATCTATATTAGGTATGGTATTAAATAATTTTAATTATGTATTACCGTTCATATTATGTGTGATTATTTAATTTATCGTGTACACCTATGTATGCTAATCATGTACATATATATTTTTGAATTAACGTATAAAATCAATTATGTATTAACGTTAAAATCAAATTTAATTGGATATTACCATCTATATTATAGATGGTATTAAATAATTCTAATTACATATTACCATTCATATTAGGTATGATTATTTAATAGATTAATATTTGATGCATTGGCACTGTATAATATCTATGCACTGGCGATTAACCACAAAGTGACACCTCATTAAAAAGCAATTACAAAGTTAAGGAAGCCTTTTTTGTAAATGAATCATAACATTTAATTAAATATATTTTAACTAAAATTAAACATAATGTAACCTTTTTTTTTTTTTTTTTTTTTTTTTTTTTTAACGCAACCGTTAAAACTTTCACTGTATTGCAACTCCCACAAAGCTTCATGTGGTTATTGAAATCAACAAAGTGTATTTAAAATACTATATTTAATTAAACTCTTAAATTTTACTTCCAATTTTTACTCATTAGTAGACATTTTTCTTAGGAAGAACAAGATGAAAATAACTTATCATAAAAATGAGGGAATAGAGATTTAGAGTCTATGTAGTAAAACTATTGTATTTTAATTTACGCTTTACTTTCTAAGCTTCTTCTGGTATTTTTGCTCCAACATCATCTTTGTTATTTTGATTTCAAATTTATTAAAGGACATAAATGGTTAAAGCATTATTAACAATTACACAAAATAAAAATAAATATACAAAGGTTGCAAACATGGCTGCATTGCTTCAGTGGGAATCACAATTATGTATATTTGTTTTCATAATAATTATCCAAAAGTGGCCAAGTTTTTTTTTTCTTTTTTTTACATCCAAAAATGGCCAAGGTTTAATTTATCAAAGATGCAGAGTTTTGATGAGAGGCTTTTACAAGACGAAGGAGAGGTTCTGTTAACTTAGGTTTTGGATTTCAGTAAATACAATTACAGTTCTTATATTAAATTAATTAATAAATATATTTAATTTCAAATTATGATTTATTTGTGAATAAATGTTTCTTTATTTTTAATTTATAATTGTTGTTGAATGATGTGTCACTTTGTAGTTAACCGTCGGTGTAAATTTATATTAATAAATAATTATTATAAATTTATATTAATACAATGTAATAGAGTCAGTAGCATTAAAAAATGATTATTAAGACAAGTATAATTTATTTTATATTGTGGATACATTACTTTTAATAATTTTAATTTAATAATATTATACCTTAATTATAAAAATTCTACCTAATAATTTTAGTATTAAATATCATACAATTATTACCATAAACAATATTTAATAATTGACAAATTCTATTAGGCAATAAAAATTACTATTATAAAATCTTTTGTAATATGGACACATTATTTTTAATCATTTCGGTTTAATAATATTATATCTTATGTATAAAAATTCAAAATAATACTTTTAGTACTATTGAATATTGATTGACTAACAATTATCTTAATTATTAAGGCAATTAATAGGTATTTAGATTTAAAAAGTTTTCAAATATATGAATTATACATAGTAACATGGAATCAATTAGTAAGACAATTATAATAGGTAATCTAATTAATAATTTACTTTTTAAATTATATCTCTTTTTTTTTTTAATAATGAATATTTTCTTAAAATTTTGACGAGTTTAACAAATAATCAAATTACAATAATAACAACAACAATAATAATAACAACAATAACAACAACAACACAACAACAACAACAACAACAACAATAATAATAATAATAATAATACTAATAATAATAATAATAATAATAATAATC